TTGGAAAAATGTTCTCTTCTCCAATGAAACGAAAGTTGAGTTAAATTCAAAGGATAAGTTGAGTCACTTTTATCGAACAGCACTATATATATATATATATATATATATATATATATATGTGTGTGTGTGTGTGTGTGTGTGTGTGTGTGTGTGTGTGTTGAAGCAGAAAATACTCTTATAGGCATGTCTAATTGAATAATTTACAAATATTATGTGTTCTTATTTTCATCATAATCCTTTCATATTGAATTGTAATATTCGAAAAAAAATGTTCATGAATATGAAAAGATTAAGATAAAAATAAGAAGACACATGTTTGTAATGCACACACACACACACACACACACACACACACATATATATATATATATATATATATATATATATATATATATATATATATATACAAGTATATAAAATAGAATAACATGTATTTCTTTTTTTTTTCATCTGTAATTTTATAATTTTAAACTTAATAAAGATTAAATTTTAAAATGGGTAACTTTTAATTTTTAATTTCAAATTTTATCGTATAATTTAATACTTATTAGTTAGAATAAATTCTATTCTAGTCCAACCCCCACATTAAGGCATTAAATAGGTATTATAATCATAGTTCGTTGTCAAGTTCTTTGTATTCTCGTATCCTTGTATTTTGATTGGTCATTCCAGCTTATGTAACAGCGTTCCACTTGCGAGGAGTGGTTAATTGATTTCAACTTTTTAAAACCCTTTATTCGACATTCAACACCATCACTTGATAAGTCACCAGAGGTGTTGAAAGAAAATGGCTATTTTTGTAGTGATTTTATAACATATTTATGTTATAATTTTCGAATAAATAATTTATTTATTTATATATATATATATATATATATATATATATATATATATATATATATAATTATTTATTTATTTGTTTTCCGTATTATTTTATGATATTTCTCTTTCTTACTTTCAGGTGTGCATCATTTCCGATTTCTTCATTTTTCGGTTGTTGAATAATTATTCTTGCAATGATTGGCCTTCTAGCATATGTAGCCAGTATTTCGAATGTTGACTTAGAAAACCGTCAGACTCTCCTCACTTCAAAGACAGACACATCACAGTCTTCATATTACTATGTGAAACTTAATAATTATCTAACTGTTCTTTTCTTTCTTTTTTTCCTTTTTTTGTATTTTGTTTGTCTGAGAGTCTTTTTTTTTCTTCCCTTCTTATACTTAGGGGTTCGTTGAATGAAACACAAAACCATGTGTATATGGCGCCGATGAGTGTGGAACTTATAACCTACGAGTAATGGTTTGCTCGAAGAGAGCTATCACCGTGAGTCTGGAGTTTCCTCTGCTTCTAATTAAGTAAACTAATATTGATGGTATTAAGTTGTCCCTTTTCAGTTAAAGTTTTCTTTGTTTTCTATTGGATTTTCTTTGCGTTTTTTTTCTTCTTTTTTTTTACATAAAAGAATAAGTGATTTTATAGAAATGATGCAGACGTTAATATGCACCTCTACTCTTTTCTAAATAGCAAACGACCGCTTTGGATATTCTTCTTTTCTTTCATTTCTGCTTCTTTAACTGTTTTATGTTATTCTTTTCTACGAAATAATTACGAATATTTAAGCATCTAGACCGAAATCTCAAGAAGAGAATGAGACAAAGAAGAGAAATAATGGCATTTTGGTATTTTTCTTTTCCAGACAATTGAAGTCTGGACATATAATCATATTAGTATATATTTACTTTACTTATATATGCGTGTATGTGTCTGTTTGCGTTCGTCTATGTATTTGTTTGTGCTATGAAAGTGAATGACAAATTCTATGCAACGCATTCCGTTCTCTATAAAAATAAAAGTAAATTTATTGTGGAAGATTCAGAAATCAGTGCACTTTCTTCAGATTTTCTTCTTAATAAATTACTTGCTCGTTATATAAATCAATATTTCATAATAAAACTTATCATTAGACTAAACCATTAAGTATGCTGTTTTCTCAAAGACCCTTATTGTGTTCATATGCTATTATAATTAAATTTCTCGTGGTCTGTACTACATATATTCTGTGACTTTTATTATAGTCTATAGGGAGAATTCTTGTAATTATTTTGCCTTGGGTTAAGTCTAACACTGATTTACAATTTTCTTTTTATTCAACTCACCCTTAACAAGGCTATAATGCCACCAAGACGCAATGAACTGCTGGAAGTGGGAGAGAATGAAAAACTGACGGATAAACCTCTTCTGTTAAAAAAAAAAAAAACAGAGAAGAATGTGAGTCGGACGATAGCCGAACTACTTTTTTTTTCTTAAGCGTTTCACCCCAAGCAAGGCGGGAATCCATTAGCACGCAAGGGGTTGAAGATAATTGGAGTGAGACCAAATAGGAGTGATAGAGGAAAGGATGAAGAGAAGGATAGGGGATAGATCAAGGCATCTGGAGAGGTCGATTGACATTACATTTGAATAGTTGGAGATTATAGCTATCAGGGAAACAGGAAAAGGTGAGGGAGTTCGACAAGCGAGAAGTGCGAGACATGAAGCTATTGAAGTAGAAGAGACGGCTATATTTAACAGTTTCGACTAGTAGAACGCCTAAATTCATGAAGTCTGAGAACAAGCGAAAGCAGCTCATCGGAGCAGTTACCCTGAAAGTATTTGTAAAAAAGACAGAGGGAGGCGACGGCACGTCTGTGAGAGAGTGACTGCAGACGAGATGCCAGATCAGGATCAACTACATTGCATATCCGTCTCTGGATCTTATCAAGAACCTTGAGACAAACATAAGGGGCACCAGACCATATATGGCAGCAATACTCCATACAAGGGCGAATGGTTGATTTGTGGATTTGAAGGAACGACTCCGTCGAGAGAAATTTATATACAAGGATTACATTAATTCTTTACAATTATAGTTATGGCATAGTTGTTAGTTTATTAAGTTGGTTTATATTGTTCATTCGTTTATTTATTTAAAAAAAAATAAGCTTTGTGCTTTGCGTTAAATATGAAATAATTCAAACATTAAAAGAATTGTCAATATATTTCTCACAGCCATATAAATGTACAAGACAAAAGGTTCCAACCGCTCTTATACAGAACCCGATAATTAATCCAGATTTGATTTGATTATGGGGAACTTCATGAGAATTTTTATTTTCAGATTGACGAGAGACATTTAGTTTTAGGTACTTATAATATGGTTTGACATGGGAAGGTAATTTATTGTTTGTTTCTGTTTTGTATATATATATTGTCGTTACGTTCAACGTTTTTTACTTCTTCTACGAGATCAGGTACTATTGATGTGTAAGGATATATTAATACAGCATTATAATTATATTGTAAATACAGTGATTTTTTTTTATTATTTTGGAAACGAACAGATTCAAGAAAGTAGAAGAAAAGATAAACTAAGTCTCCGCTAAGAAGCGATCAATATAATCCGAATTTTGTCAAACACTTTTGTTTATAAAAGTCATTATTAAAAGTAAAATATTTTGTTAATGTTGTGTTATTGTCCAGGTTAAAACCAAGGAAGAACAACACGAACTCAAGAGTAGAAATAACGAAGTTATAATACCCGAAATAATAATACAAGATGTGGAAGTTGTTAGTATGACTGTCAGTCTGGTTTGGAGTGAACTACTATCGGCTTGACTCGATTCGTCCCTCTATCTTGAAAGGCGTAGTATACATAGTGTTAGGAAGAGTTCATTCTTTAGTTATAGGTAAGGATCCATGACAATTTGGATCTACAGAAAGGATACCATGAACCGATCATGTGAAAAACAACGAGGTTTTAAAGAAAATAGAAGCATAAAAGAAAACTTATACTGAAGGAAGCGACAGTTGAAATTTCTGAGGAATAAGAAATGATGAAGAAGGGCTTGGAAAATCTGTTACTCACAGGAGACTTTGAGGGAAATTGGAAGAGATAAATGTTCTCAGAATAGTCTTATTTTTTTTTCTCATGATTACCAATTCCATATATGATGAGTTGCAATTGAATGCCTGCATTGTGAGTCATGTAATTTTCAGGTTTTATTTTATTAATTTATACAATGACATGTCAGTATCACTAATTCTAATTTCTTGTATGGTTTATTAACATTAGGGTTTTTCGAAAAATTTTCTCTCTTCATCAGTCTTATAAGAATTGTTCATATCATTCAGTATTAATCGAAAATTTTCATTGTACGTTTTCCTATTCATGATAACAATTCCACTCATTTTATGAGACGAGATTTTAGAATTTCTTTATTCGATTTCTCCTATCTTTTTCAAACTACTAGAGGCTCTAATCAACTCTGAAATTTTTGAAGCATCCCAACTGTTAGATTTTCTTTTCAAAATAACAATATGGCGTTCGATTCTCTCGGTCAACTGCTGATCAGTTAACAGATATTTAAGAAATAGTATGTTAAGTTTTGCACATGAATAAAACGTTTGACAGGCTTTGGCATTAACAGCCTTCTTCACCTTTTGAAGGATTATGGTGTTTCTGTTCGGTTCTTTTTATTTAAGTCAGTTTATTCAAATTGAAAGATTAAAGTTTTCATCAGTAATGTTTTTTTCTCTTGCGTCATAGTCGCTTAATCGCTTTGATTGAAATGAAATGATTAAAATAAATAATGATTGAATTAAACCTTTGTTAAACTCCATGTCATTGTGGGCATGGTTTTCAAATATTGTGTCTTCAATATCTCCATTTTGAATCACGATGTCAAATTTTAATGCAAAGTTAGGTTATTGAATAGTTTTATATCAGATGGGTTTTCTGTCAGGTCTGATTGTCCAGTGTACTTCCATCTGCTATTTGCACATAGGGTATTTAGTTTCTGTTGCATTATTTTGGATTGACTGTTGTTTGTATATGTTATTTTTCTATATGTTTTTTTTTTAAATATATGTTATTTTTCCATTACCTGTTAAGATATATTTGAGTAATGGTTATTAATATGTCATTAAAATTGCTTCCAAAAATGGCATGTGTTTATTACTCAGATACATCGCGAGATAGATATGATTAGACTGTAATAGATAGATAAATAAATATGAACAAAGATAGATAGAGTGAGAGAGAGAGAGAGAGAGAGAGAGGAATAGACTGTTATAGATAGATAGGGAGAGGGAGAGAGATAGGAATAGACTGTGATAGATAGATAGATAGATAGATAGATAGATAGATAGATAGATAGATAGATAGATAGATAGATAAGAATAGTCTCTTATAGATAGCTAGCTAGAGAGAGATATAGATAGATAGAGAGATAGAATAGACTGTGATAGATAGATAGATAGATAGATAGATAGATAGATAGATAGATAGATAGGTAGAAGCAGACTGGTCGATTCCGATTTCAGTGTAACGATCATGCTGCAAAATTGCAGTCTAACATTTTTGCGTCTTTATTGTTTTTTTTCCAAAAGTTCATTTTCCCTGGAGTTCTGATTGTAAAATGTCCCGCGCATATATTTGAAAATTGTGGTGCGATGTTCTGAATATTCTTTGCATGCTTCGTGGGATAACATTTTTCTTCCATGCAACGGAGTCATGTTTTTTTATAAGAATTGGCCGATATTTAGTTCTTCAAACATTCCAATTTTCTTACCAAATAGTTTGCTTTCACAATGTAGAATATTTAAAAGAAAAGCGACAAAAAACAACATAAAGAGTTTGGAAAGCAAATGACGATTTATTCTGTGCATGAATAAACCTCTGCAACAAAGATTAGTTAGCCCGCCACCATAGTATACTGGCATCCTCGGAGATGAGCAGCCATTATCACACTCACACACATACATACACGCGCGTGCGCACCTACACTAGATTAAGTCATAACTAAGTTCCGTTATTAGTTATCAAAGTTATTCTTTTAAAAAATAAAATACATTTTCATTCTGTTTAGCAATATTCACCATTATGTACAATTATTTTTGTCACCCTGATACCTTTTGAGTCAAATTTCGCAGGTTTTGATGTGAAAACGCGTTCGAATAACACACGACAACCTCGTTTTCATCTGATAAATTTTCCCCCTTCAAAGTATTTTGTGTACTGGATTTTACTTTGAAAACTGTCTGATGTAACCAGTTTTGCATCACCTGTTACGATATATTAGAGGAATGGTTATCCATTTGTCAGTAAAAGTTGATTCCAAAAAAGGCATGTATATATTACGCAGATTGGTCGAGAGATAGATATGATTGGACTGTGAGGATAGATAGATAGATAGATAGATAGATAGATAGATAGATAGATAGATAGATAGATAGATAGAAACAAATTGTTATAGATAGATAGAAATAGACTGTTATAGATAGATAGATAGATAGATAGATAGATAGATAGATAGATAGACTATTTGCTGCTCGAATGAAAGAACGCATTGCATCTCGCAAATTCGGCTCCAAAGATTATTGGCGTCTCTGCAAGAGCGTGCTTAACAATAGCAAACCCTCTATACCTCCTTTGTTCAACCAGTTCGAGGTTCTGACCTCTTCTGCCGACAAGGCTGAATGCTTTGCTCGGAAATTCTCATTCACTTCAACGCTCGACTCTTCCGGTGTACCCACACCCGATTCTCCCCCTAGAACTGAGGGTCTATTGACTGAGCTGCACATTACTCCGTCATCGGTATTGGGCATTATCTCTAATTTAGACCCCCACTAGGCTAGTGGTGGAGATGGGATACCATTGTCCTGAAGAAATGTGCGCCTGAACTGGCCCCTGCCCTCACCAAATTATATAACTACTGCCTCAAAGAAACTTGTTTTCCAGAGTGATGGAAGTCCTCATCCATTGTTCCTGTCTTTAAGTGATCCTTCTGACCCTTCTAATTACCGTCCTATCAGTCTCCTACCACTCTTCGGCAATGTCTTCGAAGCTTTAATCAACGCCGAAGTGGTTCACCACCTTACATCTCATGATCTTCTCTTAGACAAGTAATATGGTTTCCGCTTTACCCGATCTACAGCTGATGTGCTTACGGCCATAACTGAAATTGTCTACCAAGCTCTTCAGAATAACGGAGTGGCTCTAGACATCTCCAAAGCGTTTGGCAGGGTTTGGCAAGCCGGCCTTATTGGCAAGCTCCCGGGTTATGGAATTACAGGTCGATTGTTTGACTTAATACAATAATTCCTCTCAAACCGTGTATTGAAGGTCGTTCTCAACGGATTCTCCTCCAGTTCCTATCCCACGATCCCCATGGCTCCATCCAAGGTCCTACCCTGTTCCTTATCTTCATCAACGATCTTCCTGACGTCATAGATTCCCAACTCGTCATCTACGCGGATGACACTAAAATTTACTCCTGCCTCAAAAACAAATCTAGTGTCGTTGACAAAACTAACATGGCCGTTCGTCTCGAAAAGGACCTCCAATCGGTTTTAAAGTGGGGCAGGAAGTGACTGGTTAACTTTAACGCCTCAAAAACAAAACTGCTCTCTATTACTTATCACAGGGAACCATCCCTGCCCTCCATTAGAATATCTGACGCTCAAATTCTCGATAGTTCCTCTTTGCGACTACTCGGCCTCACATTGACTGCTGACCTGAGATGGAACATTGAGTCAATAGCTTCGTCCACCGCAAAGAAATTTGGCTCCCTAATTAATGCTGCCATATATGGTCTGGTGCCCCTTCTGTTTTGCTCAAGGTTCTTGATAAAATCCATAGAAGGATATGCAACGTAATTGGCCCTGATCTAGCATCTCGTCTGAAGTCGCTTACTCACAGACGTGCCGTCGCCTCCCTCTGTCATTTTTTTTACAAATACTTTCAGGGTAACTGCTCCAATGAGCTGCTTTCACTTGTTCCCAAACTTCATGAATTTAAGCGTTCTACTTGGCTGGCATCTCGCTCACATCATTTCACTGTCGAAAATGCTAAATGCAACCGTCTCTTCCACTTCAATAGCTTCATGTCTCGCGCCTCTCGCCTGTGGAACTCCCTCCCCTTTTCCTGTTTCCCTGATAGCTATAATCTCCAACTATTCAAATGTAATGTCAATCGACGTCTTCAGATGCCTTGATGCATCTCCTATCCTTCCCTTCATCCTTTCCTCTATCACTCTATTGGTCTCACTCTAATTCTCTATAACCCTTTGCGTGCTAGTCGCTTCTGCTTTGCTTGGAGTGAAACGCTTAAAAAATAGATAGATAGAAATAACCTATTATAGATAGATAGATAGATAGATAGATAGGAATAGCCTGTCATACATAGATAGATAGATAGATAGATAGATAGATAGATAGATAGATAGATAGATATGAACAGACTGCAAGAGATAGATATTCAAAACTTTAATACGGTTCAGTCTGTTTCAACCGAAAGTTTCAATGTTTCCCATAAGTATCACGTACATCTGTTAGATTACGAACAGATTACAAATATTATTCGTCGCGTCAGAAGCTGATGAACCCATTCTGAACTCACGGGAGTGTCCCGGCTGTCAGTGTGCAGATTGTCTGCAAAGATCTGTGTATGTTTCATTCATTTTCGCGCTAATAAGAAAAGACATTACCCCCTGTCCCCTCTTCTTAGCTATGAGGGAAATAGCAAACACTCCACTCTTAGAAGGCTGCCAATCTTGAATACAGAACTACTAAATACTCAACGGGAAAGCTGTCAACTAACTTTCCTAAGAAATCATTGTAATTTACATATAATAAAAAAGGGATCTGTGGAACACCTTCTTCCTGAAAAGAATACGCCATTTAAATACAGTGATTTTCTAAGCCCGGCTTAGATGTGTCACAAGATTGAAAGTATGGGGCACCTAGTGAGGATCGAACTCACTACTCATTCGTAATTGTTCTAGCGAGACAAACTTGCTAAGCATTACACCACCTGGAGGCGCCCTAGATTCTCCAAGCATAGCTTAGATGTGTCATAAGGCTGGAAGTACGGAGCATCCAGTGAGGATCGAACTCAGTTTTCAGTAGTAACTGATCTAACAAGACGAGCTTGCTAACCAATACACCATGCCGAGGTGCCCTAGAGATTGTCCAAGCATAGCTTAGATGTGGCACAAGGCCGAAAGTATGGGGCATCCAGTGAGGATTGAACTCACTATTCAGTAGTATCTGATCTAGCAAGACACGCTTGCTAACCATTACACCACGCCGAGGTGCCCACACGCCATTTAAATATATGCAGAATCTCAAATGATTCTTTGTCCTGGGTAAGACGATAAACTACTCCCGACAGCAAGGACTCTGATCAGGAGGTATTGAGGAGCGTGCAACCTACTCTTAAATGCTGGTATTCCAAGGTCCACCCTAACCCGGGTTCATAGCACCTGTTAGGGTCCCAGCTATGGGCAGATAATTAACCCCTAAACTGGGCTCAAAACAATATGAAAGTGTAAAAATAGGTTTTGATACCAAAAATACTTTATTTGGAAAAAATTATTACGAGCAATACATTTTTTGAAAAAACAATTACCAGCATTACATTTCTGAAGAAAGATTATATTTCTAGCAATACATTTTTGAGAAAAAAAAAAAACAAACATTACAGCTATACATTTTTTATAAAATATTCTCAGCAATAGATTTATTGAAGAAAACATATTACCAGCAATACATTTTTGGAAAAAATTATTACCAGCAATACATTTTTGAAAAAACAATTAACAGCATTTCATTTCTGAAGAAAAAATATATTTCTAGCAATGCATTTTTGAGAAAAAAAAAACAAAACATTACAGCTATACATTTTTTATAAAATATTCTCAGCAATAGATGTTTTGAAGAAAACATATTACCAGCAATACATTTCTGAAAAAAATTATTACCAGCAATACATTTTTTAAAAAACAATTACCAGCATTTCATTTCTGAAGAAAAAATATATTTCTAGCAATGCATTTTTGAGAAAAAAAAACAAAACATTACAGCTATACATTTTTTATAAAATATTCTCAGCAATAGATGTTTTGAAGAAAACATATTACCAGCAATACATTTCTGGAAAAAATATTACCAGCAATACATTTCTCGAAAAAAATAATACCAGCAATAATAGAAAAAAATGTCGGTATTAAATAGCACATTGAGGTTGATATGCTATAAAACAAACCAAAAGAAATTATTCTCATTTACAATTAAATTTAATGGTCACTTCAATTAGAATTATTGAACTTAACATTAAATATTGTTAATTGAAAATAAAAGGTCAAACCACTAGGTTATATGCCTTACATAATCCAGCGTCAACTGTATATTTATTATGGCAAAGCAAATATAAGGAATCCATTTCCAAGCTATTGTACAGTGTGTAACAGCAAAATTGTCCAACTCGTGTAACAGCAAAATTGTCCAACTCCTGTAACAGCAAAATTGTCCAACTCGTGTAACAGCAAAATTGTCCAACTTGTGTAACAGCAAAATTGTCCAACTCATGTAACAGCAAAATTGTCCAACTCGTGTAACAGCAAAATTGTCCAACTCGTGTAACAGCAAAATTGTCCAACTCCTGTAACAGCAAAATTGTCCAACTCGTGTAACAGCAAAATTGTCCAACTAACAGCAAAATTGTCCAACTCGTGTAACAGCAAAATTGTCCAACTCGTGTAACAGCATAGGATAATTGTACATGCCCCAAAATGTTTAATATCTAAAAAAAAAACTACTAAACTAATTGAGTTTCTTTTTTCCAGGTTTTCACATAAGACGTTTAGCCACCTTGATTCCGTTTTTCGTAAGAATCACTGAAACACCCTTTGAGTTCTTCAGCTAGAATTTGGTTTGTCTCAGCCCCACTATATCTTCCTAACTGAGCAATTGGGAGACAAAAAATCATTCAGTCCTCCATTAATGATAGCAAACTTCACACTTTGGCTTCCCTCTTCAAATTCCATTCACAAACCATCAAGAGAATGGTGAATAAGTTTTTTAAAAAAAGGGAAGAGTAGAGAGAAAACTGGATCAGGAAGTCACAAGAGGAAGACGGAACATCATTTCAACTTAGAGCTAAATACATTCTTATTTTTCAAAATAGAATCCAATGAAGTTATATAAAATCTCGAAAACTTCCAATAAGATACCTTTAATCATTTCTGATACACAACGGTTCAAAACTTAATCTAAAAATTGGACAATTTTGTTGTTACAGCCGGTATATGTAAAGAAAAAGAGACAGTCTGTGCAAAGAGATTGTGTGTATGTGTGAATGTTCATTTGAGAATAGCAAAATGAGTCCGTATGAGTGATTTTATTGGCATAAAATGAATGGTTAACAACACAATCAAAAGTTGAACCATGTAGGTTTTTAAATGTAACTTTTACACTGGCGCTACAAATTCATAAGCAAAGAACATTACCAAATAGCAGAATAACTGAGAGGTATTAAGGGATATCAACGAGGAATCAATGAATAACAGGCTATCGAGATTATTATATGCAAATATTAGAAACAGCAAAATAACTTTACATACGTCTAGAAAGAAATCCAGTATCTATACATAAGGCAAGAATTAACGTTAAATGGAGAGACATAGCTTGAGAGATATCATAAAAAATTACAATTTTTACAATCTCTATCTATAACAGGCGGGATCTATGTGTGTAACGAATGCACGGCTGCAATTTTAGATGGATTTGCACCAAAATTTACATGCACATGCTCCAAGTTAGCGGGAAGGCTACGATTTTGCATTTCCCAACTCCCATCGATAGTGGAAATAATCGATTTTTTCATGCTTCTACGGCAGTTTTCATGTAATTCGCGGCCATTTTGTACTGGGCAGAGTGAGAGCCAAGAGCTGTCTACCACAAATAGGCAGGAAGATTTTGTACTGGCCAGCGTGAGAGCCAACAGCTGACTCACAAGAATGTTAACTAGCATGCAAAAAAAATCGATAGCTTCATTCGTCACAAATGGGAAAAATTTAAATCTGCATGGCACTTTACTCCAATTGGCTCATTCGCTTGCTTAAACTCAACGTTGATTCTGATTCCGCAGAACTGGGTTGGGTGTGAAAAAGTATTTGTTGTTAACATTTTTTTTTCATTCGGTTTTTCTAGTAGCGGGGCCTTTTTAAAGCTCATCGTTTTGCGTTCATTTTGTTTAGTTCTTTTTTCGTAACAGATTTAATGTTTAGTATAGAGCTTAGAAAAAAAATTGCAGTGTGAGATAGGCAAGAATTAAGGCATGTAGCAACATCAGCACGGCAAAGGGCACTCCTTTAAAGGCAAGGAAGGGCAAAAATATTTTAAGTCAAGTGATAGCGATTTCTGTATGAGTCGTACGATTTTTGAATCAAGCACAGGCAACGCCGAGCCATTCTGCTAGTTATGAATATAAGGAACCTGATATAGATATGTATTTAGATAGATGTTATAGGTAATGGTGTAATTATTTACTCAATTTTTTTTAATATTGTGCTTAAAGTCATGTGTTAGTTGGGATATATTGAAGATAAAAAATTACGTTATATTGCCGGTTTGATAAGCTAGCTTGTTAACCATTACCCCATATCAAGACATTCTGATATCTTGATATAATGATCTCATTTTTTTTTTATTTCATATAGATTCATAAAATACCCACATCTTTAGTTTGATTTATTAATATTTTCTAAATATTATTTATTCATTTTAAAAAAAAATATATCCCAAGGATTGGACGATTTATGCCCACACATTTATGACACGTGATCTATTCACAATGACTGGAGTCACAACAGAATATAACTTCAGGATTGTGTCCTTGTTTATCGCTCGCACTTAAAGCCAAGTGTCTTCTAGCCCAACGCGAGAGACTCGCACAGACATCGCCTGAAGCCGAACACAATTTATGAAAGTAGTTTTTAAAGAAGGGGAAAATCCATTTTCCTCCGCCCCACGTTATTCGAATCTAGTGCGAATTTCTTAAGTGGTTTTATAACGATTCAAGAATTTATTCGAACTGAACCTCCCCAACATTTACCACCTCTCCACCTTATGTAGCTTCCTTTGTCACAACCTTTCGATCGGTAACTTCTCAAACATCCTCAGGCCACATATTGTGTGTATCAGGCAGGAAGAATAAAAAGAAATAAAATAAAAAAGAGATGTGATAACGTCGTTGACGTCCAGCCATATACGATATCTAGATTTCTGTTTTCAGGAATTCGTTACATGCTGTCGACGCCAGTTAGAAAATCTGATCGATTGAGAGGTTGGAACAAAACAAACTCTGATATGAAGTGTTAGACTGTCTCGATATTTATTGCTAAGAAAATGTTCGTTATTTACTTACTTGTGATATATATATATATATATATATATATATATGTGTGTGTGTGTGTGTGTGTGTGTGTGTGTGTGTGTGTGTGTGTGTGTGAAACTTTGTTAAAATAGCTGTTATTTATAATATTTGTCTAGAAAAGTTTTGTATCGTCATAAGAAACAAAAGAAAAATCTGCAATATTATGGGTCC